TGCTAACTTTCACCTAACAGGATTCATCTCTCACTTCTTCAGGCCGTTGTGCCGACATGGCAGAAAAACTGTAAACAAGAGTACCCCCAAATTCGTGGCAGACTCCTGCCGGGTCTGCTTCTAAAGAGGAGCACAAACTCTACCTGCAGACCTCCTTTGAAGGGGCTCCGGGATTTCAAACTTCACTCTGGCGTACACTAAGCTGGAATTTTCCACTCAGCTCTTCAAACACTTCGGAGACTTGGAGTGTGGCGCTTGACACGTTTTTGAAAAAAGCCTTCTCTTCTGCAGGTGCTCAGCCATTCTTGCAATTGCTTGACAAAACCTCACGGTGACATAAGGAGAATGGATAACTGTCACTCGTTTTCAGGTTTGACAGAAATACCTGTTACTCAATCAGAAGCTTCCCGGTCCTCCACCCACCACAATGGTAAGTTGCCGTTAGCTTCTTCCAAGCTCTCATTAACACAGGAACTTCCCTTATACCTCATTCAGACCTTTAGGCTACCCAACCCAATGCTGGTCAACGCTGACCATCCACAATGGCCCTCCCGAGCTTCAGGGACAATGATTTCACAGCCTTATTGGTTGACATTCAACAGAGTCTCCCATCCAGGTATTAACCAGGACTGATCCTGCTGAGCTTCCCAAATCGGATGAGAGTGGGTATGTTCAAGGAAGCCTGGTGACAGATAAGGGACCTCTGGGGGCTCCCTGGGAGGCTTCTCACCCTAACCTCTGGTCAACATCTGGTGGATCTTCATGCAAAAAACAGGGATTAGCACTACTGGCAGGAATGGAAGAGATATAAGTAACCTTCATAGATGTTATCTGTCGGATAATGAGTTGCGCGATTTGGCATGCAACAGAAAAAAGTCTCCAGAGATTTCCTAACAGGAGACCATTTGCCTCCAGCCCTTACGCCTTTTGTGTGACTGTGCACCAGGAGTTCAGCCATGGTGTGATACACATATATCGTTGCATTGCTGACCTGTGAGATGTGGCGAGACAGAGTTGAGCCTCTCATTCGGCTCTTTCCCATGGTCTCGGATGTTCTTCAGTCCATAAACAGCCACCTCTGTGGATTTCAGTCTTTTCCCCGTGCAGGATCCACCGGGTTCAAAGTCTTTTTTAATCACAAAGCTGGTGTCCATCAGCTGACCGTAGGCCAAAAATGCTCCCTACCATCTAAGGCTGATCGTTTAAGGATTAGGGCTAAGGTAATGATTACTGTCTGTGCCGTTTGCATTGAAATTCCTCCTCACTAACGATTCTATTGTTGACACCGACCACCGGCAGCTGCTTTTCCGCTTGCCTGGGGCATTTCCAGCTGAACCCAGGACCTTCTGCCTTCAAACCATGGGGCGGACCCACAGAGATCCAGCTTTGCTGTAAATGGAATCTGAACAGATCTAGAAACATGGACACACACACCCCCCCGCACAGGGTTTTTGAATTCCCCAAAGCCTTCTTCCCCTTGATTTTTGGATAAGTAAAGGACCAGGGAGACTGAGGTTTAAGGGTCCCAGTGAGGCATTAGGAAACGTTACCTGGCAGTTAGTTAGTCAGATACATCGGTAAAGCACGTTGCCCGGAGAGGTTCCTCAAAGTGTGTGCTGATTTGGCCAACAGAAAGCCAGGCCTGTGGTGAAATCCTTCTCTGGTAGATTCCCTGAAAGTAAAGAAAAATCCAAGCCACAACCGAAACCTCAAACAGCCACCTCTCCAGGGGTTAAGTGACATGTCTTGGTCTTGCCCCATTCCTTTCTGAGAAGAATGAGAACATCCCCTTCATTCATGTGATTGTTCAAGTACGCCGGTTTGTGCTTGTGTGTCACTAGTCTGCAGGTTCGTAAGTGATGCTTTCCCCACTTTAAATATGGCCATGCTTCCTTTAGCTCAGTGGTTCTCCTATGAGAGGGTCCGGGCAGTTTTGGACTCTGAATTTAGCCTATAAAGCCAAAACATTCTTGGGTTTATATGTATCTCAAAGGCCAAATTTCCTGGGTGTTAAGGTGATCAGGGGAGGCCTTTCTCTCGGCCCCGCCACCTTCATGGGTGCGTCTGAGGAGGACACGGGAGAGGGCCTTTTCCGTGGCTGCTCCCAGACTTTGGAACTCCCTCCCACTGGAAACCAGGCTGGCCCCATCATGGCTGTCCTTCCACAAGCAGGCAAAGACCATTCTCTTCAGGCAAGGTGTCATTCAGTAACCAGCTGCCTGAGAAGGCAGCTTGCCTGAAGAGAATGGTCTTTGTATTCTCGAAGCCTTTCACGGCCGGGATCTGATGGTTGTTGTGGGTTTTTCGGGCTCTTTGCCCGTGTTCTGCAGGTTGTTCTTCCTAACGTTTCACCAGTCTTTGTAGACGGCATCTTCCAGAGCATGGACAGAGTTCCTACTCCAGTCCTCTGAAGATGCCGGCCACAGAGACGGGTGAAACGTCAGGAAGAACAATCTGCAGAACACAGCTAAAGAGCCCGAAAAAACCCACAACAACCATCAGAATGGTCTTTGCCTGTTTGTGGAAGGACAGCAAAGGGCACCCGTTTTTTTATCACCAAGATATCTGAAGTGGAGTCCTGGCAACTGGACTTCTTCCTTATGAAGTTGAAACGTTTCAATACTCACCCAAGTAGCTTCTTCTACTTGGATGAGTAGCGAAACATTTCAACTTAATAAGGAAGAAGTCCAGTTGCCAGGACTCAACTTCCAGACAACCTCACCTGGAGGACTGAGAGTCTTCACCAATATATTGAAGACCAAGATGTACTCATTTTAGACTGAGAAGATATCTGGATTAAGAGGAGGGGTCAGGGGGGGCATACATGTACCTAGAGCAAATCCCTCACTCAACAAGGGTGGAGACCTCAGAGATGATCTGACTGAAGATGCCGGCCACAGAGACGGGCGAAACGTCAGGAAGAACCACCTGCAGAACACGGGCAAAGAGCCCAAAAAAACCCCACAACCATCTGGGTGGAGAAGGACTGCAGAGGTGGGATTATCCCTCATCACCTCCAGTCCATTGTCCTTCTAAGGAGCCTATTCAGACCAGGGGGAAGTGAAACCAAAGGTGGAGGAGATATCAGGGTTCTCCTACCAACTCTCCTCAGACTGAAGGAGCTACTCAGATGAGTCGCAAAACATTTCAGCCTAGTAAGAAAGAAGTCCTCTTGCCATGACTCCACCTCCAGATAACCTCACCTGGATGATTGAGAATCTTCACAGATCTATGCCAGTTCTGGACGACTGAGAATCTTCACAGATCTATGCCAGTGGCTCCCAACTGTGGGTCACCCAGGTGTTCTTGGACTGCAGCTCCCAGAAGCCCCCGTCCAGCACCACTGGTGGCAAAGGCTTCTGGGACTTGCAGTCCAAGAACACCTGGGTGACCGAAGGTTGGGAGCCCCTGCTCTTTGTGAAGCTCTCCTCCAGTGGGGATTATCCATTAGATTTACCCCTCCCTCCATCATGAACCTTCCCAAACGCTGTACCAGTTGTAGTTTGGAGGGTGTTAGAAGGTGCCTGTGGGCACTATCGGATGATCACAAAGCCCTCCCGAGCGGACTGATGGGCCCTCTAGTCTTTTGAGGAGCACCCCGTGCTTTTGTCTGGGAAATAAGTTTTAACTGACTAGGGGGGAGTGCCAACATTGCGCAGTGGGTCTTGCCCCAGGCCAGATTTGCACTTGGCTGCGTCCCTTCCAGTCTTTTACACTGACATGGCGTCTTCTCTCCGACCTTTCCAGGCAGGCCTTTTCCCCAGGACAACCCGTCCTGACCCGCCTCACTGCTTGGCTCAAAACACAAAGAACGATTTGTTTTCCAAATTTGTTGTTCCTTGTCCTGTTCTCCCCGAAGTGAGAACGAATCCTTCCTTTTCTTCCTTCCTCTGGGCTGTTTTTGTCCAGGGATTCAGTCTAAAGGCAGATGTTCTTCTTGATTTGGGAGGATGGGCTCGAAGGTGCAAAATCCAGAGTGTGAAATCGCACAACTTTGTTTAATCTGCCCAGAGGCCAAGAACTCCGAGTAGCTCGTGCAAGTGAGCCAAGCCGCAGGTTGGAAAAGAAACCAGAAGAGGGAAGTATGATCCACATTTGTACACCTTCAGAGTTTGGGAAGGCAGCTTTTTTGGATTGGCAGCCATAGTTTAACACCGGATGAGCCCTAAACAGAGAAGTTTAATTCACAAGCTTTGCCAAATACGATGAGTGAGAAAGATCTTGGAATTGTTGTTGATCACAAGCTGAACAGGAGCCAACAGTGCAAAAAAAAAAAAAAAAAAAAAAAAAAGCCAATGCTCGTTTAGGATGCAATAACAGACGAACAGTCTCTAAACCCCATGAGATACGAGTCCTCATCACAAGCTGAACAGGAGCCAACAGTGCAAAAAAACCCAAAAAAACAAACAAAAAAACCAAAAAGCCAATGCTCATTTAGGATGCAATAACAGACAAAGAGTCTCCAAACCCCATGAGATACGAGTCCCCCTCTATTCAGCTTTGACTTGGGTTCCTGCCTTGAGCAGGGTGGGTTGGACTAGATGGCCTTGGATGACCCTTCCAACTCCATGATCCTAGGGTTCTATGAGGCCACACAGGTGGAAGGGCGCAGAACCCCCTCCACCATCCATGCTCCCGGTGACCTCTCCTGGGAAGAGCGCTGGCCATCCCTACCCATGAAGATCTCGGTCCCTCCTGCTGCCCAGATATCAGGTCGGGAGCTGGGCTGAGAGAAGGTCAGCCCGTAAGCCCACCGGACGAAGGACAAGCCTGGCCCATTCCTGGGCTCTCCCTCTGCAAGGTGTCGCAAGGGCGATTTCAGCAGTTCCTCTTCCCATCTCCAACCGATGTCCCGATTTTCAGTTGGTACCCACCATGGGCACTTCCTGCAGGTGGGGGGGGGAGGAGAGAAAGCCACCAGGGCATCCACAGCTCAGGGGACGTTAGCCCACCAGAGAGGAAGTCCCAGAAGAGGAGCCCTATAAGTAGAGCCGTCGCCCCACTGCCTGGACAGCCGACCTCTGCCAAAGTCTCTGGAAAAGAGAGAGAGAGAAAGAGAAGGATGCAGAGCTACTGGGCCCTCCTCGTGCTGTTCGCTGGGGCGGTGGTGGCGGCTCCCACCCCGCAGGCCCCCGCCAGCTACGAGCAGGTGGTGGCGGCCGCCGTGGACACCTACAACCAGCAGCAGAAGCCGGAGTACGCTTTCCGCCTGCTGGAAGCCGAGCCCCAGACGGATTGGGTGAGTGGCTGCCTGTCCTTGTCTGAACTTGGGGTTTCTTTCTTTCTTTCTCTCTCTCTCTCTCTTTCATTTTCTTTCTTTCTCTTTCAATTTCTTTCTTAATTTCAGTTTTTCTCTCTCAATTTCTTTCATTCTCTCTTTCTCTCTCTTTCAATTTCTTTCTTCTTTTCAATTTCTTTCTTTCTCTCCCTTTCAATTTCTTTCTTTCTCTCTCCCTTTCAATTTCTTTCTTTCTTTTTTTCGGTATCCTAGTAAAAAAAGAGCAGGCACCAAGCTGTTTGAAAAAAGGAAAAAAACCAGACATGATTTACTCTGCCCAGAGAGGAACCGTGGAGAGCAAAAGATCATACTTTTCTTCTTGGTTCAAATTCCTTCCTTCCTTCCTTCTCTTTCTCTTTCTCTTTCTCTTTCTCTTTCTCTTTCTCTTTCCAGAACAGTCAGAACACTGACTTTTGATTCAAAGCCACCCCTGTCCAGACCTGCGCTCTGGGGCTGGTCCGCTGAGAAGCAGCAGAACTGGGAAATGATGGCGCGGTTTGCCCCCCAGAATTCCTCAGCCAAGGTGGGAATTCTGGAAGATGTCGGGCAGGGGGCAAAAAATAAAACTTTCGAGCACTCATTCATCTTCCCTTTTCTTTAATTCCTCCACAGCAAACCTCTGGGGAGACCACACAGCCGCTGAAATTCTCGATCAAAGAGACCGTGTGCCGTTCCTCGGAGACCCCTAACGTCTCCCAGTGTGACTACAAAGATGACGGGGTAAGCGTTTCTACCCTGCAGGACTCGATAAGGCTGCCAACTTTTTTTCTTTTGCTGCTCCTGTGCATGATCCAGAGCTTAGAATCATTCCTGTTTCAGACAACCCCTCCCAGTGTCCCCCATCTGGATGGTGTTCCTCCAGACTGGCCCTACAACCCTTCCCTGCTCTTCACACTTTGATGAAAGAAGGTGTGGGCCAAGTGTCACCGCTAAAGGGCTTATTTCTCTTGTGCCTGCAACTCTCCTGCACCCAGAGAGGAGGGGCATTTCATGGCCTTCCAGATGTGCTTGGACAGCAGCTCCTAGCCTCCCTAGCCAAGTGAAGGATGATGCGAGTTGCAGACCAGCCATATCTGGAGGGCCACAAAGGGCCCACCTCTGGATGACGGAGATCCTCAGACCAGCTGGGTTATTTTTTGTGGGGAAGGAATGGGTTTTCTCAGGGGCAGAGTATTTACTGCAAGCTATCCCTTTTTTTAAGGCAGAGGCTGAAATCCGGTGGAGTGTAGAAGTCAAAGGGCACAACGTCCACTCACTTCTAACTGGCCATTAATGAGTCACCGGCACTCAGGGATCCCAGTGGAGACTCATTAATTGCCAGCAAAAAGCGAGCGAAGGTGACACCATTTGCCTTCTCCGCACATAAAAAAAGCAAGAGAAGATCTGACAGTGGCTGGAGTGGGAACTAAAAGCCATGAATGGTACACAAAACCTGCTCCTTGGGTCTTGACAATGGATCGATTGAACAGCCTGCAACACAGTCCAAAGGGGAGCACTATCCAGCCCTATCAGGAGGGCGGTTTATTAAAGTGGCTCTTCTTCCTCTCTTGGGGCAGGTCGACCGGGACTGCTCGGGATTCTATTCCACTCAGCAGAAACCGCCGACCATCATTATCCAGTGTGAGGATGTGGACCAAGAGGTATTTCGCTCTCTTTCTCTGTCTTCTTTTGGGTCATTTCTTTCTTCACTCCTGCCGTAAGCACCACCGGGCGATTTATAAATATAGCAAAGGTTTTTCTCTCCAGGACGGGCAATCGCAAGGGCCTTCGGGCCAGCCAGCCTCCGGCCGTCCGTGTTCACAGAGAGACCCGTGGGGAAGGATGAGGAAAGGGAGATGGAGAGTGTTAGGTTTCTGGCTTCAGGGCCGGAGGTTCGGAGTTTGAATCCTCCACTGGGCTTCCTGGACAGGGGCTGGACATGGTGATCCCTGGGGTCCCTTTCAGCTCTGCACGTCTAAGATGATGATGATGGCGGCGGTGGCAAGAGTTTCCCCATGGTATCTCTTTGTTCCCTTTGCAAGGCACGATTTATTGGGCCTCCCTTTGTCCGAGCGGTAGAGGTCAGTGCTAGGGCACGGTCCATTTCTTCTCTGGTCAGAGCAGCCCTGGGTAGTATTTCCGGATGTCAAGGGACCACGGAGTCTGCCCCTCCGTCATCCGCAATACACGAGGCAAGCTCTTCCCGCCTTCTACTCGTAAGCAAAGAAGGAGGCGGATCCGAGTTTGAATCTGGGGGAAAACAGGGCTACACTCTCCCCATTATAGCAGGGTGACTACTCTTAGTACCAAATCCAAGTGGAAAACAGCCAGAAATGCCCCTCCCGGTGGCCTAAAAATTCTTTTTTTGGGGGGGGGGGCGAAACAAGGTGGAAAGTGTGTGCCTTGTTTTGAAGAAAAATAGCTATTCCAAAAGCGCAATTTTCTTCTTTAAAAAGGAGGGAAATATGCAGCTAATTTAGTTGGAGAGGGGGAATTAATATAAAATCAAGGCCAGGTGACCTGAAGGTTCAATGGCTCCAAAATTCCCCTCTGGGCAGAATGTGGCCCATGGGCTACCTGGTTGCCCAGCCTGATACAAAGAAAGGCACAAGCCCGCACACAAGTGCCTTTACCTCTTCAAGCATGGAAAATCTGTTGCTCTTCCACATCTAGTTTGCAGTAGGACAGCCATGAGAGGTCAGGGGCGAGAACCCTAAATCCCTGTTAAAAGGGAACCACACACCCACACCCTGGTAATGGGATCTGGAGCCTGGACTTGTCTTTTTCCTCCTCCCTCCGCAGCTCTTATTCCTCGTGTGACGTGTCTCAAAGGTTCTTGTCTATTTGGGGTGAGAGAGCCCCGGCTCTTCTCTTTCTAAGCCACTCGGGGAGCCTTGCTGGATAAAGGGTGGGGAAGGGGTAGCTCAGGGACCAAGAGGGGAGGCTGAACTTCATGGATTCAAGAGGGCCGCAGCCGGGAGCTGCCTACAGAGCGGGGACGGGAACACTATAAACATACAGGTGAGCTCATTGCCTTGTTTTCTCCTGCTCTCGATCTAGCTGCAGCGCATCACCCGGGGCCGCTGGAGCAGGTGGAGGAATAAAGCCAAACGTTTCATTAAGAAGCACGGCGTGAGCATTGCCTTAACGGCGCTCCGATTTGGATAGAGCCTGCGAGAAGGAATCATCACCGCTGTGCCACGATCGCGGCTACGGCACCCCCTCCGAGATCCCGCGAACCACCCGTTTGGAAGTTCTGCACCTGTCTACCCCCCCCAAATCCCGCATCTCTCGTCCCCGCCTTGTCCGGCTGTGTGGCAGGAGCGCCTCCCGCATATAATAAAACATCCTTTCCCACATCTTTTGGAGTGCTGTCTTTCTGGAGTCAAGGAACGGCTGCCACCCATGCTGTGATGACCCAAAGCCCCCCCTCCTTCCTTCCTAGGCGCACAAAATCAAGAGGGTGGGAGAGTCAGCTTCTCAAAATAAACCCAGTTTTAGTGGAAAGGAAAGCTCTGCACTCAGCCTAAAGCCAACGGCCACGATCCTGCTGGTTTTGGGGGGCAAGGGGGGGCTGGCTGCGGCTCCGGATGATCCCCGGAGAAGGTCCCGAGAAAGGTCTCGGTCATGCAAAAGGAGAGATTCGACTAAGCCACGGCAAGGCACACAGAGGTTGTGGGAACACCATTAGGATTCCGGCCAACTTGGGGAAGTGTACTTATTTGGCAGGGTGGTGGGGTGGCCATCCTTCCGACGAGGGTGATCTCTTCTTCTTAGATGCTTTTCGGGCTGAAAGCCAGGCCAAACTTATATACAGGCTTTGCATGCAGGAAGCCCACAAGAGCTTTTGAAAAGACTGTGCCGGATGAGACCCGAGACCCCTCTAGTCCATCCTTCTGCTCCCATAGCGACCGGCCAGATGCCTCTGAGGAGAGACCCATGAGGAGGGAAGGAAGGGATGTTCCCCTAAGCGGTGCGGGCCACTAAATCACAGAATCATGGGGTTGGAAGGGTCCTATAAGGCCGTTGAGTCCGACCCCCCCTGCTCGGTGAAGGAACCTAAATCGAAGCGGGTCTGACAGACAAGAAGAAGAAGAAGAACCTTTGAAGGGCAGAGCTGGAAGGGACCCCATGGGATCATCCAGTCCAGCCCCTGTCAGAGCGAGGCACAGAGGGAGGGTGGGAATCGAAC